CAGGCTGAGCGGCTCTGGTGGTTTGCGGGTGGCGCCCAGCGCGCCCGGCCTCGGGGCCGTCGTTAGCTGCCCCACTGTGGGCTCTACCGCGGGCCACAGCCGCCCCCAGCTCCAGGGGGTCCCAGGAGGGCCCAGGCCCCGGGTGGGGGAGGCCGGACATGACAGTGCCGGGTGGGGACGCCTTTCAGAGGAACCAGGGGTGCGGCCAGGCGCAGACGGGACTGGGCATTGAGGTGCCTCCCAGAAGCGGGAACTCTGAATCAGGGTCTTGAGGGATGAGTAGGAGTTCTCCCTGTGAGGAGGGGTAGCAACGAGGCCAGACGTGTGGGACAGCCTGGCAGTTTGGGGGGAGCAGCGGGAGCATGAGTAGGAGGCTGGGGAAGGTGTAGGCCCCGCTGGGTGCCTGGAAGGTACTGTCCTGTGGCCTGAGTTAACCCCTAGGCAGTGGGCCTGCCCCTGTGTTACCCGCCAGACCAGGAGACCTCAGTTCTTACCTTCTTGTGGGAAAGATTTCAATCAAGACACAAAGTGTAGAAAAGAGCAAGAATTTATTGACTGCAGCAAAAATATACTTAGGACAGTGAAGCGAGAAAGGGCCTAGAAGCAACGGCAGAGCCTGGGCTGGGCTGCCTTGGCTCACTGCAAAGTTGGGGAAAAGGGGGCCTCCGTTAACCCTGGATGAGCTGCTGCTGCTCATCGCTCCCCTGATTGTGGGGTCCCTTAGAGGGAAGACGGGGAAGGGAATGGCTCCGGCATGCTCCTGGGGGGGAGGCGAGCAAGCCAGCACCTCTGTCCCGTTGTCCTGAGAGTATTTCTCTCTCGCAGGTGGGGACTCTTGGGAAAGGTCTCAGGTAGGGTCTCAGTGGAACAGTCGTCCACCTTCCAGGTGTGACAACCTTTCAGGGTCAGCGCCAGGGCAGGGGGTCATTAGTGTGGCTGGTCCTGAGACAGCCGTGGCGTCACGTGTGGGGTTTTGCTGCTTTTCTAGGCCTGGAGCTGAAACCTAGCTGAGGCCTCGATGTTATCTTTAGGACGAAAAGGTCAAGGGGTCCAGACCAAATGACCCCCGATATGCTAGTGGAAGAAAGGTTACCCTGGGGGCGAGGTTCTGGTTTCCCCTGTTTTGCCCCTTGCTAGGCATTTGCCCTGGTGAGTTTCTGCCCCTGGCCTGTCCCCCTTGTTCCGCTCTTGCCTGTCTAACTGCCTGGAACACGTGGTGACGGTGTACTGTGTGGTCCCTGCAGGGGTGATGCCCCAGGCAGACGGGGGGACGGCGGACACCACCCAACCCACCGGATGGCGATCGTGGCCACTGCTAATGAGGGTGTGCTGTGTGCCAAGCTGCGTCCACGCTGTCCTCCCATGTTACAGCCCCAGCAACTGAGGTTTAGGGGTTCCCTAGAAGGCCAAGCCAGGACAGGAAGCTGGGTCGTCTGACCTGGGAGCTGGGGGCTCTTGGCTGCCTGCTTTTCTGCTTCCTGGTCAGGGCCTTAAGAAAAGGGCGGACGGTCCCTGGCTGGGTAGCTCCGTTGGTTAGAGTGTCGTTCCAGTATGCCAAGGTTGTGGGTTCAATCCCTGGCCAGGGCACGTACAAAATCAAGCAGTGATGCATAAAAATAGGTAGACCAACCAACTGGTGTTTCTCTCTTTCTCTCTCTCTCCCCTTCTCCCTCTCTTTCTAAAATCAGTCTTTAAAAAATTTAAGAAAAGAAAGAGATGGACGGAAGGTGGCTAAGGGCAGGAAGGAGTGGAGGTGGGGTATCTGGGGGCCATGTCCCTTCCTGCTGAAAGTCAGAGCTGGTGAAGAGGGTGCCCAGGACCTGTCCCGGCCCCCGCACCTCGTTAACTTCCTCCTTCAGGTTGTGACTCTTGTCACCTCCTTCTGGAAGCCCTCCCTGAATTTCTTATCCAGGGCAGGCGCCGTTATAGGCTCACCTGGCATTTGGACTCAGGGTGGTTATGGCCTAAGGTCTGACTTAGCTAGTGGTTTCCTGAATTCACTCACCGCTATACCTCATCCCCCATGGGGCCTTGAGCTCAGAGGGTGTGTGCTGAGTGACCCAGTGACAATGAAGGATTACAGCTCCCAAGGGTCCTTGGGTGTCGGGTATGTGGCCAGATAGACCAGGGGCTGACGAAGGGGACCAGGTGGCCCTGTCTCCCTGGGATCCACCTGGAAGCCCAGGGCTTCAAATGGGAACTTTCTCACCCCTTGCTGCCGTGAACCTTCACGTTGTCTTTAGGATCTTGGCAGTGTCCCTGTTGCGTTTCCCCAGTTAAGCCCTGGCTGAGACACTTTCTCTTTTATTGCAGCTTCATGGCGGCTGAGGAGACGCACTGGCCTGTCCCCATGAAGGCCATTGGTGCCCAGAACCTACTAACCATGCCTGGGGGCGTCGCCAAGGCTGGCTACCTGCACAAGAAGGGTGGTACCCAGCTGCAGCTGCTCAAATGTGAGTTCCCTGCGGTGGGGAGCACCAAGGGGGGTGTGGGGGACAGAGCTGAGCCTCTGGTTCCTCACATGGTGTGTCCTCCAGGATTTCCCTTCCCTGCCTGGCAGCCTCTACCTGCTAGGGCCCCTGAGGTGGGTCTCCTCAGCCCACAGGATTGAGAGGGCCCTGGGTGGCATCGAGATAGGAGAGGCATTTATTTGGTGCACAGTGCTGACCAGCTGGTCAGGGGCTGAGCTCTTGCCTTATCCGAGGAGGGAGGTGTTCAGTGTGTTGGTTGGTCACTATGGTTCGAAATGACCCCATATGCCAAGCCGAGACCTGTGGAGCTGCGTGAGAGCGGGGCTCTGTCCCTAGGACAGTAGGCTGGGAGAGGGAGGGAGCCCCTGGCTTGGGAGATGCCCACTGGTCAGGACACTGAAGGTTGGTGTCTTGCCCGTCCCTCTGAGCAGTCTCAGGCAGCCATGCCTTTGCCGTGGGCCACCTGGTTGCGGTGCCCCAGGCTGAGCAATCAATTTTTTTGTGGGCACCAGCTGGTCTGCTGTCTTTTTTTTTTTTTTTTTAATTTATCTTTGTTGTTGAAAGAATTACAGATATTCCCTTTTTCCCCATTGATCCCTTCTACCGCACACCCACCCCCTGCCCCAGGCCTTCACCACACTATTGTCTGTGTCCATGGGTTATGCATTTATGCATATAGAGTCTTTGGTTAATCTCTCCCCTTCCAACCCCCCTGGACTACTGGGGTGCCTCCAAGGACAGGCTGTCACTGACCTGCCCCCAGGCCTGGGTGGGCTGCTAGGGATGGGGCAGTGGAGGGTGGGGGTTCTCAGTGTGACTGCTCAGCCTGGGATTGGCCCCATGCTGGTGGCTCTTGTTGGCCAGCGCTCTGGGCTCCTGTGTCTCCTCCCTCGCTGTGCCAGCCTGGGGCAGAGGGAACCTCCCAGCGGCCCCGCAGCACCCAGCAAGGCAGCTGGGGCCTCCCTGGACCTCCGTCCCTGGCTCTGCCCTTCCTGGAGCCAGCCTCACAGCCCTTGTCCCCGGAGGTAGTGGGAACTCCGCACATCCAGCCCCCAGATCTGCCCCTGCCTGGGGCTGGCCATCACGCCCAGCAACGTGTCCACATTTGACCCCACGTTGGATTCCTGGGGAGGGTCAGCATTCCAGCCCAGCTCCCTGACCTTCCAGTCAGCGGGGCTCAGAGCCTGGTCCAGTGGCCCCCGCTCACCCCCGCCCTCTCCCCTTGTGCACAGGGCCCCTGCGCTTTGTCATCATTCACAGGCGATGCATCTACTACTTTAAGAGCAGCACCTCTGCTTCCCCCCAGGGCGCCTTCTCCCTGAGTGGCTACAACCGGTGAGTGCCCGGCCGACGGCCAGCTGCTCCCCAGCCCCCAGCAGAGCTCTGGCCGCACCTGCCCCCTTGTTCCCTCCCAAACTCTGCCTAGATGGCTGAGGTCCCCACCCCTTGGCACCATGCCCAGCCTCACCCCTCCTTACAGTCTAGCCTCGGCCTTTGCTGAGGGCCTGAGGGTGAGGCTGGGGGTACAGCGGGCTTGGGACAACCTGCCCTCCAGAGTCCCCATTCGGCCTACTGCCCGGTGACTTCTGCATCCCTCCTCCCTGCCCCCTCACCCACCACAGCCTCCCACTAAGGGGCCAAGCCCAGCCTGCCTCAGACCCTGTCCCAGGCCACCCTGGCTCCAGGGGCCTCCCAGGCTGGGGCCAGCTCATGTGCTGTGGGCTGGATTCGTCCAACAAGGGGCAAGAGCCTGCCCTTGGGGGCTCCTGGGCTAATGGGCAGGCGGCGCCCTCTGGGTGGGATGTGGGGTGCTGGTGTGTGCAGCCCGCTAGTGCCCTCCAGATCTACCCCACGGCTTCTGGGGCCTGCACAGCAGGCTGATGTGGCACCAGGGCCCTGTACCTATGGCATTATATGTGCCTCCCACCTTCCCTGAAGGGCCTGCCCCTCCACCTGTGAGGAACCAGGGGGGTCCATGGTTTCACTGGTGGGACTGGGATCCTCAGGAAGTGACTCTAGGCCTCAGCTCACCCTCCAGCCAAAAGCTCGGTGGGGGAGCCTTGCCTAAGCCCCAGCCAGTGATAGGCTGGCTGGAGCACTGCTGAGGAGGGAGGAGGCTCCAGGACTCTGTGGCCACTGTGGGGTCACCTGGGGAGGGACGTTTTCTTCCCCATACTTACCACCCTCGGCCTGGTGGGGGTGCAGGTGCAGCTTTGCCTCTGATGGGCCAGAAGGGCACATCTGCCCCAGGTGTCCAACCCTCAGGGTCCCCCACAGTAGACTTTGTGATCTCTGCAAACTCCACGTCGTGGCTTCAGGGGCGACCACAGATAGTCACTTCCTTGGAATGTTTTCCGGACAGGAGAGGCAGGCAGGGCCTGAGGTGGGAGGGTGGTGTCCATGGGTGGGCAATGAGGGTAACACTCACGTGCCTCTGCCCTCGGAACTCCATCCTGGACCCCAACATCCCTCTGTCCACCCACTGCCCACCCGTGTACCCACACTTCTGTCTCCCTGGAGCAGCTAGGCCTTCACCTCACCATCCAGATCTGCAGTCCCTGTGGGTGTGAGCCAGGGGTGACCACTGGTTCTGTGCCCTCAGGGTGATGCGGGCAGCCGAGGAGACGACGTCGAACAATGTCTTTCCCTTCAAGATCGTCCACATCAGCAAGAAGCACCGCACCTGGTTCTTCTCGGCCTCCTCTGAGGACGAGCGCAAGGTGACTGGGGCCTGGGGGATATGGTGAGCCCATGGGAGCTAGGCAGGTGTTGGCCCTCAGTGCTCCGTCCTCACACCCAGGTACCAGCACCACACACTCAGAATATGCCCTTAGGAGGAGTCCTGAGTGGGCTGAGGGGGCTGCAGCCCCAAGAGGGCCAATCAGGGTAGTGTCCGTCCCTCCTCACCCCCCCCC